ATTGTGCAGGGACTGGAAAGAAATTTTACATGAAAACAGTGACACAGTGTCAGAACAAGTACTGGCTCACACCATATCTCCTGTCAGCCTCTGTCTCCTTGTGAACACTTCACTAATCTTTTGGATCCTGATGGAATTTAACAGCTTAGGGAGCAGAGAGTTTGTGTAATATACAATATATATAAATATACAGTATATATAAATTGATTGTTACTTGGCTTCATGTTAATTCAGCGAGGTACAGAATTTTTCATCTTGTCTGGAATAGGTGATACTGAATACTGTATAAAACATGGCTCAAATTCTTCACATAATTACTTTGGGCATCATTTCTACCAAGGGAAGCACCTCCTGCAGTGACAGCAACTGTCTTGAAATGTCTACTGCTATGCAGAGAGAGTACCTGAATCTGGGAAGGCTTGTGCTGAGGCTGGGAAGGGATACTCTTGCTTGTACTAAGTGATGCAGAAAAGGCTACATTAGCATCCTTATCTGTTCACTTTGGAGGCAGATCTAGTGTTGATAATAATTCAGAGATAAGCAGGGATAAATTAGTATCTTTAAATATAATTTCAAGATCTAAATATGTTAATGTGTCTCACTAGTGATATTATGCTATATTTTTTTAGTGTGTCTTTTCCTTAAATTCAGAATAAATAAAGGTTGTAATGCTAAAGTGAGGTTGGTGATATGAGAACACACATTTAGATGAGTAAGTTGTATTCTTACCTACTTATTAGTGTGCAGGAAATGATATTGTGTTTAATGACTAAACTTGATTTAATGGTTAGTTAAAAAACGAGAGTCAGTACGCTTAAGACAATTGTCCAATAATGGTTTTAAATTGTTTTTTAATTTTCTTTTAATAAAGTCTTTTTTTCTTGGAGAAATGCAAGTGTTCAAATTGACTACGTTGAAATGCTAATAAAAAATTGCAGTATAGCTAGAAATTAAAAAAAAATTGAATGCTGCCTTTGGAGTCAAAACACATTGAGCATAGTATGTGTCACTGGTTCTTTATTTTCATTTATGAACTAAGTTTCAGATAGACAATTGTGTTATAATCTTGTCAGCCTGTAAAAAGAAGTTTGTTAAAACGTAAAAAGATTAAAAAGGCAGATATCCTGTTTGGAGTCTGTTATCTGCCACTCAACCCAGATAAAGAGGCAGGTGAAATATTCTATAAGCATCTGGGAGAAGTCTCATGGTCACTGGCCCTTGTTCTCATGGGGGATTTCAACTTATCAGATGTCTGTTGGAAATACAATATAGCAGACAAGAAACTGTCTAGGAGGTTCCTGGAGTGTGTGGAAGAGAACTTTCTGGCACAGCTGTTGAGTGAGCCAACCAGGGGAGGTGCCTGCTGGACCTGCTGTTTATGAACTGAGAAGGACTGGTGGGTGATGTGACGGTTGGAGGCCGTGGTGATCAGGACAGGGGGATCGAGTCCACCCTCAGCAAATTCACAGATGACACTGAGCTGGGTGGGAGTGTTGGTCTGCTGGAGGGTAGGAAGGCTTTGCAGAGGCTGGATTGATGGGCTGAGGCCAGCTGTATGAGGTTCAACAAGGCCAAGTGTCAGGTTGTGCATTTGGGTCACAACGATCCCAGGCAGTGCTACAGGCTGGGGGAAGGGTGATGGAAGCTGCCCAGTGGAAAAGAACCTGGGGGTGCTGGTCAACAGTGGGTGAATGTGAGCAAGCAGTGTGGCCAGGTGGCCAAGAAAGCCAACGGCATCCTGACCTGTATCAGCAATAGTGTGGCCAGCAGGACCAGGGCAGTGATCGTCCCCCCTGTACTTGGCACTGGTGAGGCCACACCTTGAATCTTGTGTTTGGTTTTGGGCCTGACACAACAAGAAAGACATGGAGGTGCTGGACCATGTCCAGAGAAGGGCAATGGAGCTGGGGAAGGGCATGGAGCACAAGTCTTATGAAAACCATCTGAAGTAGCTGGGGCTCGTTAGCCTGGAAAAAGAGGAGCTCAAGGGAGACCTTCTGGCTCTCTACAACTACCTGAAAGGACATTGTAGGCAGGTGGGGGTCAGCCTCTGCTCCCAGGTAATAAGGGTCAGGACAAGGGGAAGCAGTCTCAAGTTGATCCAGGGGAGTTTTGGATTGATATTGGGACAAATTTCTTCGCAGGAAGGGTTGTCAAGCACTGAAACAGGTTTCCCGTGGAAGTGGTGGAGTCACCATCCCTGGAGATATTGAAAAGACATGCAAATGTGGCACTTGGGGACATGATATAGTGGTGGACTTGGCAGCGGTGGGTAAATGCTTGGACTGATAAAAAGTCTATCCCTATCTTTCTCATAGACCCCCTATAAGTATTGAAAGGCTGCAATAAGGTCACCCTTGTGTGCTCCGCGCTGAACAGCCTTAGCTCTCTCAGCCTCTCTTTGTAGGAGAGGTACTCCATCCATCTGATAATTTTTGTGGCCCTCTTCTGGACCTGTTCCAACAGGTCCATTATAATGATCATTCTTATAGTCTTTGAGTTTAGCTCCCTCTGGCTGTGAAACCACAGGAAATTTTTTCCCCTATTAATTAGTCACCCATGGATTACTTTGTAAGTTCAGAGAGGCAGGCAGTCTCAAGGATCCCTTTCTGGCCAGCAGTCATGGTGGAAAAACGTGAGATTTTTTCCATGATTGGCATGTGTATCTGAGTTCACAGATCTGCTAAGAGTGTATGAAATGAATACCGGAGTCTCTGGAAATCAAACCTGTGAGCCAGTGAACTTACTAAGAGACTCCTGATATCTGCTGGGTGAGCAGTTGCCATTACACCTCTGCAGAGATAATGTAGCTTGGAATAAGATGTTAGAGTAGCAATTCATGCTTGTTAAGGTTCCCAGAAGCTGTAAAACATGGCAGAACTTATGCAGAAAATATATTCCGTTTATAATAACCAGAGAATTAACAGATACACACTGAATGACTTTCTGTTACTGGTTCAGACTCAAATGCTGTCTTTTAGTAGGAAGTCAAGAATGGGAGAACTCCAATGTAGGAAAAAATTGCTGTTAATTTTCATCCTTCAAAGCTCTTAATAAAGCAGTGTATTAAAACTTTCTAATTGCAACTGAGGACAAAAGAATCTGAGGTGCGCTCTGCTCTAACTGGCAGTTGTTGATGTTAAATATCAAAAGATGGCTTGATAAGCACTACACGGGCACAGAGGCTTAATTAATTCAGAGAAATCAGCAAGTTTTGTCTATGTCACACTGAAGTAATACTTGTAGCCACATTATTTCCTTTTGTATTTTTCCTGCTGCTCATCAGTCATTTAAAAATTGATTTAATTTTTGAAACTTCTTGGTTTAAATTTTGCATTCCCCACCAGATCAAGTTACAGTCCAAGCTCAGGTTTTTTTTCTGGAGGAAAAACATCAGCAGTGGAGGCTCCAAATTATGTAAAGAAGTTAAGATGTATAATGTATTTTAATTGAATAGGAAAGAAAATTGCCTCTAAATGTGCACTTTTTTAGGGACCTCTTTGTTCCCAAGTGTAAAATTACTTCTTTGGGATTTCTAATGTAGGAGAAATAGAATAATATGGGATGGATTGACAGTAGTGCTACTCAGTGATAAGTCAGGAAGTGAATGTCAGTGGGTGACTAGGAGGAAAGGAATGATTGCCCTATAGAAAATAATATGCTAGTACTCCAAATATATAAATTATTTGCTAATTAGTTGATGAAATATCCTTTTTTTCATAACTCACATTGCTTAAATTGAATAGCAGATATTGAGTCATTTAAAAGGCAATTTTGTGTGACAAACAGGAGCTTTTACAGGGCAAACTTGTTGCACTGAGGCTGTTTTGTCTGTATTAGATTAATGTAAGTGCGAACTAGAGATGACAAGCTTGTTTAATTAACAGTGCCATACTGTTAATCAAATATAACCAGCATGTCTACTGAAAGACAGGCTGAACTGGGGACTTTATTCCACTGACTGTATTGACTAGATCTTCATTACCTAACTTCATTATAGAAGCTTAGATGTTTTATTTAGATGTAACTATATGAGGTGTTTTAATCTTGAACTATGTCCCATATTGAGTATCCGAGTGTACAGTTCTCTGAAAGAGATAGGGAAGGTATGGTTATCTAAGAGCATGCATGTGCCTTCAGCTTGTGTTTTAATGATGTAATAGGATCTGTTAATGCTGGTGAAATTCAAGCTGGAAAGAACAGCATGTGAACCTGTTACTTGGTTTTACTGCCTTGCCTAGAAATTTTATCTGGGTGCCTAAAAACTTAAGTTGGAACTTACCAAGTGTATTTTCTTGAATGTTATATAGTACCTGTAAAAGGCAGTCTCTCCAGCAAACTTCATGCAGTAATGGTTGCAACATCTCTATCTTCACTTTGAAGTGATGGCAAGCTCAGCAAGGTAGGTTGACTATAGTTCTGGCACGGGGCACGTACACTATGTTTAGAGAAAGCAGTGCTTAGTGTGCCTGGCCCCCCCCGTTTCTTGTCAGAAAAATGAAAAAGAGTGTGGGACTATATTCTGGTTGTCATGGACTCAAGCTTCCCTGCTGGGAGAGCTGAGGCTGAGCGCTGACCATGAGCTTGGGTGTCAGTAGGTTTGTCTGTGGTGGGATACTGACAATGCGGGCATACCTAAGAGAAGTAGGAGAAATATCCTTGGATTCTGAACGATTCTCTTACAAAAAAATTCATGTTACTCATATTGCCTACGTGTTTGCATCTGGACACCATAAGTTTCTCAACAGTTTTTCTAACCTATAAATATTGCTTTATATTCCCACACTGATGCTGTTTTTCAACCAAGATAAGTGCTTTTCAGTAATTGAACGTTTCTGTTGGGTACCTAAAACACTGTGACTGTTCAGGGTGTAAAACGTTATTGTAGAATAATCTTATTTATTTATAAAACCAGCAAAATTTTGGAAATTGGCTTTGAAATAGGGGAGAAACGTAGTTTTTAGGACATAAAATGTAATTGATTCTCCCTCTATTTCCAGGTACTGCCATTGGAAAACAGAATGAAGGACACAACACGTTTCCCACAGGCATTGAACATTGGGATGGGAATAGTCATGACCTTGTATATCTCACTAGCCACTCTGGGATATCTGCGGTTTGGGGATGAAGTCAAAGGCAGCATAACTTTAAACCTGCCACAAGATAAATGGTGTGTATGTGACTTAAAAGCAGTAATCTAGAAAGCATGAATGTTGCAAAGATTGTTCTATGCCTCAATGCTGTCAGGCTTATAATTGATAGATGCTCAGACTTTTAATGTATGTACTGTGTCTGTGCCTTCTACATTAGAGCTATGGTCCTAGCCAGCAATTTCTTACATATTAAAAGGACTTGGATATGGAGACAGATCAATGATCTTTATTATAAATTATTCCATCTCTAGCAGAAGCTAGTTCCTGGACTGTTCAAGAGGAGAATATGCAGTTTGCAATCAGCTATAACACAGTTCTAAAAACAGCTACTTTTACCTTGGATATCCTGGTAATATCGTGCTCTTTTTTACTGTAATCACTGAGTTTAGCAGGTAAACAACTGGGATGTAAGACACCAAAGCTGAATGATTTGTAGTTCAAGTGCAAGTTCATGGATAACATGTAATAATGGCTTCCTATCAGGAAAGTGAAGCTTATGCTTGCCAGTGTCTCAAGGATATTATAATTTTTCTTTAGCTTTTTTTTTTATGCTTTGAGAGCTCCACGTGTCACATGCTAAAGAAGCACTGAAGACAATTTCAGCTGGTGCAGTGTTAGTTCTGTATCTGTCTGTGGATGGATATATATACTCTAACTATTAATTTAAAGATAACTCTAAATTTTTTTAGTACTTTTATGTCTGATGGACCTAAACTTAGACATCAATGCACAAGTATTAAAACTGAAAAGTATTTTAATGTTTTCATTCTAATCAAATAATGTGTTACAGGTTATGTGCTTGCATCTACTTGTTCAGTGTCTGTTGTGGCAGCTTATTGAAGTAGTGAAATCTCACATTATGTGGGAAAAGAACCCTGCTTTAATGAACTGAGTGCTGACTCGATTTTTACTCTTTGAAAAAGAGGAGAACGTGTGTAAAGAATGTTCTTAATTTTTAGGTGTTACTTTTTCACTTTTTCTTCCTTTTCATTCCTTGGAGTCAGTATGAGCCATGCATTTTTAATATTTTTGTTTAATTGCCTGACTGATTGCAGTGTTTAATACATGAAAATATATAATAAAATGGGTCTTGAAGGATGAAATTTTTTTGGTTACTAGAATTTCCATCTGTTGCTTGTTTACTTGTTTTGTTTTTATACTGCTGTTGTAAAAACTGAGATTTGTCCCTCAGTTTTTTTCCATTTTATGGGAAGTTTTTTTGTTTGTTTGTTTTTTTTTTTAGCTTTGGGGAGTTTTGTTTTCCTGTTTTGCCTGTGGTTCTGGTTTTTGGGGATATTGCTCACAATATATATTTGTATTCTTTCATTGTACATAGATACACGAGAAGTTTAGCAAGACCAAGTGCAAGGCAGGGCAATCCCAAGCATGAATACAAGCTGGTCAGAGAATGAATTGAGACTAGCCCTGGGGAGAAAGTCTTGAGGGTGTTAATGGAGAAAAAGCTTAATGTGACCTGGCAATGTGTGCTCACAGCCCAGAAAGCCAGCTGTGTCCTGGGCTGCCCCAAAAGCAGTGTGGCTTGCAGGTTGAGGGAGGTGATCCTCCCCCTCTACGCTGCTCTTTTGAGACCCCACCAGGAGTGCTGCATCCAGCTCTGGGGTCCTTAGCACAAAAAAGATGCTGACCTGTTGGAACAAGGCCAGAGGAGAACCTAAAATAATCATAGGGCTGGAGCACCTCTCCTATGACATGCTTAGGAAGCTGGGGCTGTTCAGTCTGGAGAAGGCACTGGGGAGACCTTAGACCACCTTCCAGTACCTAAAGAGGGCTTACAAGAGCGCTGGAGAGGGAGATTTTGCAAGGGCATGTAGAGATAAGACAAGGGGGAATGGCTTTAAATTAAAGGAGGGCAGGTTTAGATTAGATATTAGGAAGAAATTATTTGCTATAGGGGTGGTGAGATACTGGAACAGGTTGCTCAGAGAGTTTGTGGATTCCCCATCCCTGGAGGTGTTGATGACCAGGCTGGATGGGACTCTGAGTAACATGATCTAGTGGAAGGTGACCCTACCCATGGCAGCGGGTTTGGAAGTAGATGATCTTTGAGGTTCCTTCCAATCCAAACCATTCTCTGATTCTGTGACATTAGAAAAACCCAGGAATATTCAAATGTTCAATGCATCCATTCTGTCTGTGTGATGCATCTGAAAGGGAAAATACTTCTATTTCAAATATTACATGGCAGTGCTTGTTGTTTGTAAGATTAGTGAAAAGTTTGTTTTAAATGGTAGCTCTGGGTTTATTTGTGCCTTAAGAGAAGTGCTCTTAAAAAACAAGGAGTGAGAGGAATGTGGAATACTTACTGTTGCTTTTTATTGCACTCGTGCAAGCAACACAATGAACTTTATTCTGCATCCCTGCTGTCTAACAGAGCTATTCACATGAGTTTTCAAGTAGCTCTTGGCTACAGTGCAGATGTGATGATGATGTTTATCCTGATGGCTTTGCAGGACTAATGCATAGAAAGAGATAATAAAAGAGATGGAAACTGGTGCTCTAAAGGGTAGGAAATTGGCATTCTAAGTGTAATAACCTCAAAGCTACTCAGGGCACATATCTACAGTTAACAAAGTCATCTGTTTTTGTCTTACCCTGGATAGTACCCCAGAGCAGCAAACAAAATTTGGAGAAGCGGCTCATTGGTACACCCAGGGGTTGTGATGTACGATGCTGTTGCTGTGCAATACTGTGGGTCTGCCCGATACAGTACTGAGGGGCAAGAGATTGCAATCACTGTGCTAACAAAACAAATTTCCAGTGAACAGTATTTTGGTATTTGGTCCTCACATAAAAAGCCAGTAAGTTGCCAGTTTGTACTAGAGAAATGCAAGGAGCAGGGGAGGTTTTTATAAGAAGATGGTCATGCAAAAGAGCCTGGAATGTACCTAAGCAGTGAGACTTGGCTTATGTGTTCCATTCCAGCTGGACAACCCCTGCTTGAAAATAAGCCTTTCCTAGTAAAGAAAGTTAAATTAGAATTCTGCTGCTTTCTGAGTTTTATTTGATGTCCTTGCAGATGAATTTTACTGGAAAACATGCACAGACCCTGGACTGGTTAAGTGCTTAAGTTTCATTTAAATAGAAGACTGCTCATGTTCTTAAAAACATCCTGCTAGATTAGTGTTTTTGGAGGAACCACTTAGTGCAGTTCTAGTTTAGATGCTGTTTGATAGTACAAATTGTCACTCAGCATAATATATTACTTAGAATATGTTGAAAATGGACTTTAAGAGTAGTTTTCATCTTGTTTTTGCTGATCTTTTACAACTTTTTTGTGGAATCAAAGAATTCTGATTTATTTCATTAAGTAGCATTTCTCTTTTTACATACAGTTAGCTGCTTGGAAAATTAGTAATTATTGTCATGTGACCATCAGTTTGAAATAAGTCCTGCAGTATTTGCAAATGTAGATTATGGAAAATTGTGCTTCAGTACTTGGTAGCGTCCTTGGTTCAGGTCTCATAAAATCATAGAATGGTTTGGGTTGGAGAGGACCTTTAAAGATCATGTGTTCCAACTGCCCTGCCATGAGCAGAGACATCTTTCACAAGACCAGGTTGCTCCAAGCTCTGTCCAACCTGGCCTTGAATGCTTCCAGGGATGGGGCATCCATAGCTTCTCTGGGCAACCTGTGCCAGTGGCTCACCACTACCATACAAACACTATAGTATATTGAAGTTTGACGAGGCTTTACATGGTACTAATTAAAATGAAAGCTTAGTGTAATTAATTCCCTATTTGGTCTAACTGTATTGTTATGCAAGTTTTGTTACAGTACTTGCCAACGTTTCTACCCTTAAAAGAGGTACAATGAAATGTCAAATGTAGAACTGAAAAGAGGTTTAGCACACATGAATGATTTACATTTTTATTAAAAGGTAGCCTAAGGAGCTGTCTTTATCTGACTGGATTATAATAGTAAATTACTAGTAAAATCACCTCAATAATATAAAAATTGTTTTCTAATTTGGAAGGTTTTAATCCTTGTAGAGCTATAGAAAATTAGTGTAAGGGAGACGCTTACTTTGAACAAGTTTTGTATTTAAAGTTTTGAATCCTGTTTTTGAGGATTTTTAAAAATTGTTTTTGTAAAGGTTTGGGATGGTCTGAAGCCTGAGGATTAGAGGTGAATTGTGGGTAGCTGGTCAATTTTTCTATTTTTAATTGGCTAAAATCCATCTAAACTTCTGGAATAAGGACAGTCATGCAGAATTGATAGAAAAGTGACTTTTTTCCTTGAAATTTCTAAAAAGAAGTGTGTCACAAAAGCTGTGGCTTCTAAACTAGCTACACCATTATGTCACCACAGAAATTGATATAATTGTTTTTTTGTCCATTTGAATATGCCTTTGGGGCTTCACTGAGTTGTGTACAGTGATGGTCAAACCTTTGTTACAGATATTTTAGAACCTATTCGTCAAAATGTATTTTTAGTTGAAGCGTATTTTTCTTTTTTCCCTCATATCATAGAATCATAGAATGTGTATATATATAAAATATATATATACATACATATATATAAAATAATTACTTCTGTGTATGTGTTCATCTAAAAAAAAAACCAACTTATTGGTTTGTTAGCAGTCTTTTAGTATCATAAAAAATTGAAAACTTGCTGACCTTCTTTGTAGCTGTGAGATGAGAAACACCTAAGACTGAGCTGAAAGGGCTATTCAAGTTCACCAGCGGTTCACCACTCCAGTGTTCAAAACCATTACTGTCTGTGTGTTCTACACATCCTTCAAAATGTTGAAGGAAGGATGATGGAGGCATCCTGTTGTGGTGAGAAGAGCTGAGCTGTATGGATACAAATTTTGCCATGTTGTGCCATTTGGCCACAGGACAAGGGGGCAAAAGCAGTCCTGGCTGGACTTTATTTACTTGTACAGATGCAGACTGTGACATTCAAAGAGGAAACACTTTGAGTGACCCCTGCCAGGCTTTGAGAGATACAGAGATGAAGATTCTACTTGTTCTTTCCCTACCTTTGCTGCTGTTTTTTCTTTTCTTATGCATGTTGCCTTTGCTTCAGTTCAATCTCTCTTTAAGGGCTGAAGCAAAAAAGAAAAATGTTTTTTATGAGAAATATTCCCTTACTCATTTGTGAACACACAATACCCCATGGCAAATGAACTAAACCCTTACCCAAAGTTTTAATAATGTCCTTAGTTGCATTCTTAGAAAGAAAATCGTATGAAGAGACTCATAATTTCTATCAGTTGACTGCAAGCAGACCTACGACAAATGCTTTTAGTTTATGCAGCATGGATTTAAACTGCATCTAAATTTAAAACTGTTGGTAGTGTGAATAATTCTTTGTCACTTGTTTACTCAGCCACACGTAGCAGTGATAAGGTGTCTGCACTTCCCGTTTCTTGGAAGGTTTACTCTAGATGGCTTATCTTCTGCTGGTTGGCTTATCTTCTGCAATTTCTTAGGCCGTTTTAATGTAACATTCGTGTTTGCTGGGGGAAAAATATATTTTTCACATATATATATATATATATTTAGGCTTAGTGCCATTGCCAAGCTGATTTTTTAATGAAGAGTTTACAACTTACGTGAATGTGTGTAAATGTTTCCAATAGGTTATATCAGGCCGTAAAAGTGCTGTACTCCTTTGGGATTTTTGTGACCTATTCGATTCAATTCTATGTCCCTGCGGAGATTCTCATTCCAGTTGTCACTTCCAGCGTGAAGCAGAAGTGGAAGTTATTCAGTGAGCTTGTGGTGAGAGCACTATTAGTCTGCTCAACTTGTAAGTATGTGCACAACATCCATAAAAAATCTTGCTGTTACATTTTGTTGGGACTTGCTTATTTAAATATGTGTTTTGTTGTTTATTTTTCCAGAGGCTAGCAATCCTGAAATTTTGCTTCAACAATTCACTATATTTTGACTTACATGAAAAAAGGAATCTAATGCTATATTTGTATTTTAACCACACTCGGTTTATAGGTGTGACAAATTATTTGACAACCATATCTTTTGCCAGTAATACCCTAAAGCTGCCAATTTGAACTTTTATTTGGAAAAAAATTATTTTTTTAAAGTGAGACACACATTGCTGATACATGTCCACATTTATCTATTGATCTGCAGTACCTACTTGTCATGGAGAAATCCTTTCTCTGTTTTGTTGATCTGAGGATGAAGCCTAAAGGTGTGTTGGTCTGTATCCATTAAATTGCACTGACAGACATGGATGCCTGGTCACAAGAGTTCATGAAGGGACACTTATTTTAGGTGATAATGCTCCAAAGTAGTTTTGCATCTCTGTCCTCACTGCCTGTTGCTCCTGTTGTTTTTGTCGCTTGTCCCCTAATCTTCCCATCCCTCCTACTAGCTCGTTGAGATATCACAGATGCTAGTAGAAGTCAGCAGTGCTTATGGAATAGTGAGTATGGTCTCATCTAGGAATCGATACTTCTGAAGATAATAAACTGTGGAGGAAGTTAACTTTGTCTTTACAGCTCCCACCTGAAGTGCTGAATAACATAGGATGCTTTTCTCAAGGATGTTATAAAAAAATTGCTTCTAGTACAAAGTTGGCCTCTCCACCATGTGTACTGAAACGAGCTGTTATTACCTTAAAAACAATCAAAACTGCTAAACAAGCAAAAAAATGCTAAACCTTGTTTTTTAGGGAAAATGTTGATTAAAGAGAAGAGTTTTGGTTTGTTGTCTCAGTTCTCTCAGTGAATGCTGACCAGTAGCTCATGTGCTGGATGACAGCTAAGAATTGTTGTCCAAGAAAACTTGAACATCTAGTGAGACCTTCTTAAGGTCAAGCCAGTTGAGAAAAACTGGCTTGTTTTTGTCAGTGCGATTTAATTGCTACAGTAAGCAAAGGCAAATACCATCAATCTAATAAATTGCTGCTCTGAAAATACATCTGCTTTGTAGAATTAAAAAAAAACAACAAACAAACCCCAAAGGTTTTCTTGAGTAATGAAGTGCATATCTCCTGAAGCACCATATAATCTGTGTTCTGCTTCAAGTGATCAAGGTGTTTAGATTTTAGATTGAAGATATATGAATAGCTCTTGTAATACCTGTGAGTCATCTATATCAGAATGCTTCAAGGTCCAAAATGCTTTTTTATTGTCTCTCTGGGACACTGAGAGATGATTAGTAAGATCTCCAGTCCTCACTGCACCTTGCTGTTATAAGGGCTTCAACTTCCACTCACTCTCTATTGCCCTTTGTGTGCCTCTTATCACCTGCCCTGGTAATGGTACCACAAGAGATTTGAAAAGGTAAGAATCTTGTTAGATCCAAACTGTTGTTTACAGCCAAAGGTTTTAGGAGTTTATCGGTGAAAGATATTTTCATGTATGTGTGTAATGAGAAGAGCCACTGGTGAACAGGCTTAAACGTTTCCCTGTTGGACTTAGGAAAATTATAAATGACTTCATGATATTCAGCCATAGGTTTTTGTGGGGTTTTTGGCCTTTTTAATTACTGAGTAGCCTGGAAAGAGAAAACGGGGGAAGTATCCAAGAAAAGAAAGTAGAAAAACAAAGAAAATTTGCTATATATATGTAAAGATATATTTATATAAAATATACAACTATCCGTATAAAGATATAACATTAGAATCCTATGTATTTGTTTCTTTGAAAAAAATGTGTAATAAAATTGGACCTGTTTTATACCATTGAAACTTACCTGTGATATGAATCTCTAAAATGGACCTGCTGAAGTGCTACAGGTTACTGGGATATTTGAGGATATTAAATTGTTTGCTGCAAGACACAGAAAAGTAAAATTAAAAGTTTGCTCTTAAATGTTTGATATTTGCCAGGCTGTTCTGTGATATATTTTTCCTAGTTGTTGTTTCAGGATTTTTTCAAGGGGTTTCTACAAATTGTAGATTCTACAGTATCTATAATACCTTTTCACCAACATTTGTATAAGCTCCCATGCTTACATTCATCTTCTATTCATCATTTCTCATCAAAGTACTGGTTTTATACAAAATTGATTTAAATAGCTTCACTTTTCACTTAGCTTCACTTTGTCTAAGTGCAGAACACAGTTCCTAAAATGATTCAGAAAGTGTTTCTTTAATGGAAAGTAAAAATCCAAAACCTTTTAAATTGAATTTTAGAAATTAAGTGGTTTTGATATTGGTGATGGAATATGTTGTAATGTCTGGACCATTCAGAGGTCATACACTGATTAAAGGGACTCTGCTTGCTTGAAAATAATTTTCTGAGAATAGAAGCTTAAGCTGTGTTGCTAGTAATGCATTAGCTTTTTAAGAGAAGACTTGAAAAATCAGTTATTACTGATTTTTTGGGCTTTTGCATTACTCATATTATATAATGATTTTATCGTTGCAGTTTATGAGAAACTTTGTTGGGGAAAAAGCCTTCAGGCTTCAGACTTGGGACGGAGAGAAATGTACCCATCCCTTGGAAAGTTCATGTTTGGGCTGAGTGGTTGTTGCTCTGCAAGTAGGTCAGTCTTGGCTCGCTGAGCCATTCTCAAAGAGCACTGAGATCATGTGGAGTCTTTCTAGGCAGAATTGGTAGTTAAAAGTATTCACAGGACTGCTTTTACCATATTGGAAAGGAAGTTACAAAAGGTTTAAGAACAATGTTCACAGTAGCTGTCTGAATTTTCACATCTGTTCTTAGCATCTTCTTCCAGACTGTGACACACTCTGTTATTCAAAGTAAAAGCAAATATTTTTGCTGGGACCGTACTAGATTGGCAAAACCATGCTTTTCCTTTGGTTATAGCTCCTTGCCAGTACTTTTTGGGCAAGGACACAGTGAGTGCAAATGATTTGGCAGACTTTGTTCCTACTGCTTTTTTCCCATCCTCCAGTTTACTGTTAAAATAGCATGTTAGTATTGCGTGGGTCAGATGCTTTTGAATTTTAAGGAAAAGATGGGAAACTGAGAGTTTCCACATTGTTTGATACTGAAGACTTCTTTCTATTCCATTTGCAAGAGACATACTGTATTTTGGATTTCGGGTTTCACTGTATAGGGTGTAGCAAGTTAGAAGATCCCACCATACTGCATAAATCTTGACACTAAGCCATTGTTTTACAAACTGAGATGAGCACCTTTGCACTGAGTGGAGGGATGCACTAGGCTTGTGTTAAAAGTCCAACCTAGAGCTGGAGACTGGGTTTCGTAGTTGTTGAAAGCAGGTGGGAGCTAGACTTGTAGCTAGCTAGGCAATAATAGGATTGAAAGTTGGACTAAGCATCACTGTGGTGGGCAAAGTTAGAAATTAGAAACACATACAAATAGAAGGAATAGGGCAAGAGCCACCATAGGATTTGGGAAGTGCTGAGAACAGATATGCAAGTGCAGTATTTTGTGGATACTCACGAGCTGCCTTTGGATTGTGCTTAGAAGTTCATCACTATAGGATTGCTCCATGTAGGCAACTGTCTGTATTTTGGTCTCTGCCTGGTGACTTACCAGCTTTGTCCTGTGGTGTGTCAGTTCAGCTCACTGTGTTAGTTACAGACACTCCTTTTAATACATAAGAGGACAGAAAATCTATCTGATTGTGCTCAGATAGTACAACCACATCCTTGTGGTTGCTGTAGGTTCTGTTACTGTTGCATATGCATTTTTATATGAACTGTAAGTGCTTTACATTTATTTTTCTCACAGGTTTTTGCTTAGTGTTTGTGGTATTTGAATGTCAAATAACTTCAGTACTTTGAAATATTTATCAGGAGGGAATTTTTGTAATGTTAAAAGTATTTACCCTGATTTTACATATTTAAAACACATGTCACAAAAGTACTTTGGATCTGTGTTTGCTGCATCTACTTTGGTAAAGATTGGGCATCAAACACATGGTTCAGCCCTTAGCCTGTTACGTCGTAGAATTGTGGCTCCAGCACACTGGGATAAACTATTAAAGTGTGAAGCTTTTTTAGTTTGCTTCTAAAGGAACTGGACCATCCTGGATGAATTTATTAAAGATTTGTAAATATCATTACACAGAATGATATGTTTTGAGAGGCCAGCTTGCCTGGGTGACCAAGAAAAAAAACCCTTTTACTCAAATAAGTTCTGTTTAGCGCATAGCTTGAAATAAACTGCCATTGTATCATGAGAGCTTTTTACTCTCCCTTGCTTATCTAGTACTGAGGTCATGGTGACTCCAGGAGGGTAGAGTTTGGAGAAGTTTTGTTTAGCTTAAGCAATTAATTCTCCTGGGTTACCAACTTCAAAATACGCTGAGCACTTGGAGATCAAGAGAAGATCTTCCAAGCATTACTCAGTATTGATGCTAAATGGCATCAAACATTCACTTCTGTTGAAGTGAAATGTTGCAGTAAAAATTGTGATTAAACAGTTTAGGATGGGGCAAGACTGCAAGTGTCCAGTAGAATGAAAATGTAAATATCTCACTTACTGTCTGGCAAAGGCTTACTCATGTCTTCTGACCAAAGGGCACTGAAATTAAATGTTCTTGCTGGATGTGTTGGAAGCAGTATGGAAAAAAAAAAGGCAGTATTGAGAAAATATTTCATCTGAAATGGTGGCAGCAAATCCTTGAAGAAGTAAAGGAATAAAATAGAAAAGAACAATTTAAGCATTACTTTCATTTTTAAACAGTAAGTTGTGTTTGATTTATTAAAGATAGTAGTGAAAGAATTTTTTTTTTTGGTGGATTGGTAAAATCTGCTGAAGAACATCAGAAAATATAATGAAGAAAGCCGGAGTCGAGCATTAATTGTATCTTTCATCCACATGAGAAGTATAGATTATTATT